CTTTACAGATCTTCTTTATGCACCAAGAGCTTGTAACACTCCAAAGAGAAAGGAAAATTGAAATCGCATCATATGGCCCCTTTAAGTGAAGAGACAACATAGAATGCGATGAGAAATAAGAAATGGCACGGTTTAACCACTAAATAAGAACTGTATACATGTCTATAGATGCAACAGAAGCACTAAAACCTGAAAGGCTACGTTTATGGGATTACCCAGAGAATCAGCTGCAGTGACAGCGCAGATGGCTCCACTTGGGCTGTTAATGGGGTTTAACCCCAGCAAACTCCATGACCTGGCAGTCCTCTGCAGGGTGCAGAGAGTTATTAACAGCTGATGTCCAGCAGTAAGAGTCTGAGGGCTGACCGGTCACATTCTGAAGCAATGCAGAAAGCTACTAACCAGTGCTACATCTCAAGGGCCCAAAAAATTGGTGGTGAAATCAGATTTTTGAATGCATATTCTATTAAACCAACACATAACCAAAAGCACCATTTTAAAGCACAATATTAAAAGAAAACTATTATCATTAATTTTTAAATGGGTTCATATATGCAAAGGGGAATCTCATTTAAATTAAATGGTGTAAACGTCACCATTTATTTACATTTAAACTCAGAATTTCCCTCCAGCCAAAAGTACAAAAAAAAAAAAAACTATAAGTGACTATTTTGTGTGTGTCACATAACAAATAGGTATTGTTATACCTATCTTGCATCTATCTTACCAGTTTCTTTGTGAAGCTGGTCTGGAAGTCCTCATTCAGATAGATATCCTGCTTTTTGTGCTTGTGTCGGCAGAGGAGGTCAGAGGTCATCCGAGGGTCAAACTTTCTAATGTGACATCAAGCAAGAGACTAATCAAGACAAGTTCAGTTTTCTGAAATAAAAAGTGACTGACTGTGAAACTTAAGTTCCTTAGAAATGCAAATTACATTAAATATGACAGAAAAATGCAAAACATGAAAACAAGTAAATGCTGTACACTTGCAGTGGCTCAGTGTGCTTTGTGTGCTGTGTCAACATGAACATACACACATTGTGATTATAGTAAGAGGCTCATGCATCTATAAAACCTTATCTAGTGTTTACATACCCTCCTTACACCATCCGCTTGACTAGAAAATATTACTCCATATTATACAATTTAATTTCTAATAACACCTTAATATTTAAAAAAAAATGTAACAATCACTTTAAATAGTATCTATTGGTCCTTCTAACACCCCATTTACACCTGGTTTTACACTTGGGTCCGTATGAGGGAATGCAAAAGTGGACAAAGGTAACAAAGCCCAAAATGTTTTGTGATCATAAATATGTCTATTTCAAGCCCTTCCAAAAAAATAAAACAATCTATTGATGGTACTTATCTACTGTAATATAATGAAATACTGTATTTTTTAAATTATTATTAATTTAGTCAGCGTAAACAACTTCTGAACTGTGTTAATGGGAAGACATGCTTTTTTGCCATCAATGCTGCATTTAAGAGGTGTTCAATCCTGCTCCAGGAGGGCCAATATCCTGCAGAGTAGTTCCAACCAGCTCCACCACTAGCCTGGATGTTTCCAGTGAGTCCGAAGACCTCGATTCCTTTGGTTCATGTGGAATTAATAAGTGTTGGAGCTTAACTCTTCAGGACAGTGAACAGGTTTGTACTGCATACCAATAATAACCAGCCAATCTCTGAACCCCTGGAAACACTTTGATTCTGTGATGATTTTGGTACAAAACCATTATGCTCCTCTGAAATCAGACTCGTACCTGGTCAACCAAGGAGACGCATTGAGACTCATGTTACAGGTGTACACAGCTGACTGCTTGTGACTGGATCACAAGAGACTGATCTCAGTACTAGATGTAAACGACACTCATTGTGCTTTCACGTTTCTGTGTTGCGGCGTCCATTAATTATTTAGTAAACGACTGCCCTCTAGTGTAAGAAAATAACTACACCAATAAGTAAAACGCCAATAATATTCAATAAATAATTGGATTTGGAACACTATAGTTTGTACAAACTTCTCCCGTGAGTCGTCGTCATCTGTCTGGTTTCATTATCGATATTATAAGTGCCGAATCCAGAATTTATTTATTAATCCCTGTTGAAAAAAACAGCATATGCTGGTTAGGTATGTTTTGACGCTGGGATGCTGGTTTAAGCTGGTCCTTTTGCTGGTTTGTGCTGGTCCTTTGCCAGCAAAAGGACCAGCACAAACCAGCAAAAGGACCAGCATCCCAGCGTCAAAACATACCCAACCAGCGTATGCTGTTTTTTTTCAACAGGGATGTTTGCCTTCAGAAAATCAAGTTCACAGACTTTGTTGTTGTTCGCTTTTTGCAGAGAACGTTTGTAGGCTATAGCCTGTTTCGGCATATGAAGCGAGCAGCTTATATAACAAAAATGAAATTGAAATCACACATTCAAAAACGTAAAAATAGCCGGTGAATTAACGTTTAAATTTATATTTTTATTATTCTTTGGTAGTGTACCACTTGAGAACATACTGACTTTAATTTGACCGTTGAGTAACATATGTAGTATTTTCTTTTTTTTTTACAATTTTGCAAACATGACCTTCTGATTGGTTACATACATACTGAAATGGCTGTTGACAAGGTTTCTTTATGTCTGACTTGACCCATACACAAAGTTACAGCATGACAGAACATCAAAAACCTAACAGATAAGCAACTAAGTAACTAATAACATTAATTTCACAGCTCACTGATGAACAAAATATAGTACAGAAGGGATGTAGAAGAAAAAGAGTATAACCAGCTTGGTTACTCCAAATCCCATTTGAGTGGTTACAGAGGTGAAAAATCTAGATGGGTAAACTGGTAAAGGTAGTAGGTTCCAATGAGGGTGAACAGACCATGAACTGTTACATTGCTATTTGAGCAAGACACTTATTTATAACCTCATACACGTGTCATTGCAGGTTTCTTTTTTCTCTTGTGGGATTCAGACTTTGTGAAGATGGACAGCATGAATTTTGCAGACTCTTTAGAATTGAAAGTAGTGGGTACAATGAGATACTCTCCTGGTTCAAGCTTGAAGAATTTCATCACATGTCTTGTATCGATGAAGTTCCCACTATCTTCCACAGAACGTCTGTGGTAGAAGAACTTGGCAGGAAACTTTTCATCTTTCATCTAAAGAATGAAATATTATAAATATCAAGTAATTTATTTACTTACAAAACAAAACAGATGTGGTTACAGAGTTTAATACTACTGAGCTTGAATTGTATTTTACTTGCCTCTGGTGGTATCTGTCAAAGTAGAAAAACATGAAACACACACCATTAATAAGTGGAAACCAAAATGACTGTATTCAGTGAGATTTTCTGTGAGTCCAGTAGAGTTATTGTTAATACTGACCAGATAAACACTGAAGCCAATGGAGTAATTAGAAACAAGACTTCTGTATCTGTTCTCATGGATCTGCATGAGG